TTATTATTATTATTATGCTATTTTTAACACCGCGCAGTGACATATACGCAGATTATCTGACCCGAACCAGAGTCTGATTGGCTGACATGCATAATTATATTGTTGTTCGTCGTCGGTGACTTGACAGATTTTGCAATTTGGAACCAACGAGAACCTTTGATTTGTGTATAAATACTCCAGATCGAACCGAGGAATATTATTACCGCGGACGACGAGCATACAGACAAGCATCTCCAATAAGACTATTATTGACACAGTTCCACGAGAGAAGCAGCTACAGGTATTTGTTTATTTACACTACCAGTGTTTTCGCGAGTGCTGTATAATGTTTACATCTGTTCGCGAACCGTGCAATTCGAACGATGGCTTAGGATCCAGTGGTTTCTGGATGTTCGAGCATTCGTTGACAATGTTTTGATGCGCATTCGGATATGTTTCAAGTTCATAACGTCGAATCACGGATTCTGACCTGGTCCTTTAGTCGTCTGAGCCTAAACTGAAGTCATTTGTTGGTGTTATATTGACTTGTGTTTGTCCTTCTACCCACAGTATAGCATGTCTATTACAGTAAAAGCATATTTGCAGACTGCCGACGACAGTCAAGAAATTCGTCGATTTGCTGTGGATCAGGGTGCATCCACTAGCTACGAGTACCTGTCCATGAAAGTAATACAAGTATTCCCATCTATTGGACGGTCGGATTCCTTTACCCTCTCATACAAAGGTAGGCAATAATTACAAATTTAAAATCGAAAACTGTAAAATACTTTATTTTAGCTGGATTTAATATTCGCAGACAATTTGACTGTTTTGTTTGAAGTTTAATTTCACTGATTTTTGATGAGCTAAATGTAAAATAGAGAAAGGGTATTTCACCCCTTCAGTGAAAATAACGAAAATAAAATCCAAGTGAAAATAAAAAAGTGAATGAAAATAAGTTGGTTGAATTTATTTTCAGTATTTTTCTATTAGTATGTACTAAGACTAAAAACAAATATTTTTTAATGTTTTGCAGTTTAATTGCATATATAATTCTGGGATGTGAGGATGGTATCCTTGCTATTCATTATAAGAAAACACATTCACATATTAGAGGAAAGCAGACCAAATTCACAGTATCATCATCCTGAAAATAAACTAGCTACACATTTGGAGATTAATTACTTTCACCTTTGTGAAGACACTTAAAATACCATTGTTAAAAAAAAGAAGCAACTTCCAATTTTGATCTAAAATTCCATTGCAGTTTATTTTTGTGATGTGACTTTCTGGATGTGTCATATACAAATAGTAGTAATTTTATATTACTAATCACATGACCATGACTGTGATATCCTGCCTAACTACCGGGGTATACATGAAATGTCATTACATGGCACAATTGAAAGTTCACCATTTTGAAATGACTGATAATGAATCATTAAAACATGGCCGCTGTTCAATTTTGCTGAATAACTTCAATATTGTTAGAAGATTATATATATTTGTTTCTACTGTGTTTTGTCATTACAAACATTTTTTTAGTTAATGTTACTGATAATTTATGTTTTTTTGGCAAAGATTAAAGTTGATGATTTTTGTTATTCTTTCATTAATTGGTGTGGAAAAGTGGTTTGACCTTTAAAAATCTGTGTACAGATCTAAATAGTTAGCAATGTTCTCAGTTATACATTTACACTTACTTGACCTCATTAGATTATTATTATAATGTCAACTATAAAATAGAATATTTTTTTCCTGTTCTTTTCAGATAGTGAGGGTGACTTTATTGCTTTCTCTAGTGATAATGAATTGGTGGACGCTCTTGGGCAACTCAGTGAAGATATCTTCAGAGTTTACATCAAACGTAAGTACATAATTCAATAATGCCGAAAGTAGATAGAAAAAAAAAACATGTCATGCAAAAGTTTCGTCCAAATTGGCATCTAATTGTTGTTGCCATGGAAACAATTCTTTTTTAGTTACTTACGTTTTCAAAAAACTGTTTTGATTTTAGCTTCTGGTATCAAATACCAAAGTGACGAATCAAAATGCGGTGAGAAAGTATTTCATCCTGGTGTGATTTGTGATGGTTGTGAAGGCCGTATCTATGGACCACGTTTCAAGTGTGTGGTGTGTCCGGACTATGATCTGTGTAAAGGTTGTGAAGAGAAAGGACTTCATCCTGAACATGAGGTGATTAAGATCCGCAAGCCACAGATTGGTCGTAGTCATATGGGGGTAAGTCTAGATAAAATGTTATCGCTTTGCTTTGACTTTTAATATGCATTAAATTGCCTATACTGTCAGTAATAGCATTAAATATAATGTGTTATGTCGGTTTCCTCCAGCCCGGTATTTGAAATAAATACCTGCTCACTGTCAGACTGGCATAAGACTTACTTGCCCTTACTCAAGTCATTTTCTATATTAAATCAATACCTGCTCACTGTCAGGCTGGCATAAGACTTACTTGCCCTTACTCAAGTCATTTTCTATATTAAATCAATACCTGCTCACTGTCAGACTGGCATAAGACTTACTTGCCCTTACTCAAGTCATTTTCTATATTAAATCAATACCTGCTCACTGTCAGGCTGGCATAAGACTTACTTGCCCTTACTCAAGTCATTTTCTATATTAAATCAATACCTGCTCACCGTCAGGCTGGCATAAGACTTACTTGCCCTTACTCAAGTCATTTTCTATATTAAATCAATACCTGCTCACTGTCAGGCTGGCATAAGACTTACTTGCCCTTACTCAAGTCATTTTCTATATTAAATCAATACCTGCTCACTGTCAGGCTGGCATAAGACTTACTTGCCCTTACTCAAGTCATTTTCTATATTAAATCAATACCTGCTCACCGTCAGGCTGGCATAAGACTTACTTGCCCTTACTCAAGTCATTTTCTATATTAAATCAAAAGATTTCGAAAAGTCATACTTTCTGATGTTTAGTGTTTAATTATCAACTTATTTCGATTTTTCTATATATTTCTATATATTATAGATTTTTCAACTCTTAATATAATAATAAAAATACAAATTTACCATCCTTAATAAATAATAAAATGCTGACCTATTGCAATGAGTTTTTTTTTTTTTAAATAAAATATCATAGACGTACATTACAGTAAATAACCCAGTTTATATTAAAGCACAATACTTACAATTCTTCTGTTTTCCTAATATAGGGATTCTCCTTCCGTCCGGGTCTCTGGCGACTCTTCAGTGGTTTACGACCCGGAATGGCTCATGAATGCGGTCGCATGTGGAGACAAAGAAACCAAGAACAAACAGAGAAGTGTCCTGAAGGTGATGCACCAGCCGAGGAAGGTGCTTCTGAGAATCCAACTGAGGGGGCCAACCCACAAGAGGATTATATGAAAAATGTTGGTGATGCAGTAGCTGACATGTTGAAACCATTTGGTAAGTAGGATTGTTTATAAACTTTGTCTTTGAGTCAGTCCTCTATTTTCTCCCTTGTTTCTCTTGCTATATACGATGAATTGTGTAAAATAGTGTAGGTGTGAAACATATGGTAACAATAGTTATTCCATACTACAACATGTTATTTTGTTCCACAGGTATTGATGTCGATGTTGATGTAGAAAACCATGGCATGCGTAAACGTTGTGGTAGGGGACATTGCGGTAAAGGTCCTGGTCCTGATCATCCATGGGGTAGAGGTCCATATGGTTGTAGAGGACGTGGTGGTCGTGGTGGCCAAGGTTTTAGATGTCAACGTCGCAGAGCTCAAGCTGAAGCCCAAACTGATGCTGAAAAAGCAACCACTTCAACTGATAACCAAGACAAACCACAGGAAGAACCAATGAATGATGACACTACAGCAACAAAGAATAATGAAGAAAATTCTTCACCAATGGTGAATATTTTATGAATATGGTCATCAGCTCCACGATTTGCAAATTTTATATTTGTTAAAGGGGAATTGCTCAATCCCATGGATTGCACCATGTGCTCATGGGTAATTAACTCCGCCTCTGTCCACTAAATAAATTAATGCTTATTATACTCGCTTACTCAAACTGTGATTGACAGGCATTAGCCGCCATTTTAAACTCATGATTTTTACTTGTTGCGGCAAGTTTCGACCAAAAACAACAACATTTATATATCAAAAGCCCAACCAGATGAGTGTAATCGCTAGAGTACATATTCATGCCCCCATAGAAATGTATTTGGAATCACAGCTTGATCTCTAAACATCCTAAATGGCATATTTCCCAAATTGCCCCTATTTATAGTATTGGTTCCCCTTTAAAGTATTCTTACTTAATATGTTTTAAAATACAGTGGTATCCAGTTTTATTTCAAATCTATAATATTCATCTTTCGTAACCCATAGGAAACTGAAATGCCTGCTAAACAAAGCCAAGGTGGATCAAGTGATGAGAATGATTGGACTGTAGTACAAGATCCAATCAGTTCTGAACCACAAGATTTTGATAATACTGACATTATGCCTGAACTGAGAAATCCTTCTCCAAAGGGTAAGTGTAAATGAAAAATGATTTACTTGAATTGATGTTTAAAATACATTGTAATTATTAAGAGCATATTGTTTCTTTGTGTGCCATCACAACATACAGTTTTTTTTCACAAAAAATGTTCTTGTTGAGCTATTGGTAAAATTGTTTGTCTTTTACAGATAGCAAAATAGCGCAAGCATTGAAGCAGATGAAAGCGATGGGGTTTGATGACGAAGGTGGTTGGTTAACTCAACTTTTAGATGCCAAGGGTGGTGATATTGGTCGTGCATTGGACGCTATAAAGATGGGTCATCACATGGAATGAAAATACCCGCTACAATGAAACCTACATCCTGACTTGACTTGACATGGATTTGCTGATACTGATTTTTTCCATATTATAAATGTGTACTATCTACTCTGTTACTTGAGTGTATACTAATATGTTGACTATATATATATATATATATATAATGACCCAGTAGCTGGTAAAAAATTTTGTTATAAACTAATTTGAATGATAATTACATTCCAATTCATTCAATATTTGTTGTAATTTTACAAAATTTGTTTGAGACTAGAACATTCATTATCAAGTTGTACTAGTAATGTATGCTTTTGACTAACTACTGTTACCATGGCAAAATATTTAGTTAACTTACTGGGTCATTGCAACATTATTCATATATAACCAATCACAGATGAGCTGGCGGGAACCCATGATAAATTTCCTACAAAATTAACTATAGAAAAAAGACGATGTAATTTAGATAAAGAATACTGATGAGATGTCTTAACCATGTCATTTCTGACATATGTATGTCTTTGGATTCTACATCCAGAATTTAGAAACTAATCATGGGTTCCATGCAATGTCATCTCATTCGCAATTTATGAAAAGCAGATAGAAAACTATTTTCATATGCCTCAGGACACTCAGACCAACTATACAAACAACTTTTACTTGAAATGTGCACTGCTCAAAAATAAATTCAGAAAAAATTTAGTTGATCACAGTCAGTGGATTGAAACTCTCAAATTGAAATTGAGGGGAAAAATATGTTGACTGTCTGCTTTTCTTCACTGAATAAGTCAACATTGTAATGCATTTTTGTAATCAGGCTGTCTCAGCATTGGTTGTGTTTTCACAATATATTAAGTAGTCAGTAGAAAGCATTGAAAAAATGTTAAGTTTCACAGTTCAGAAGAGGGTCATTATTCCACCTAAAATAGTTTACATTTATTGAGAAATCTGTTTACATCAAAAGATTCATCAAAACAAAATTTACCACATATTGTTAATTTTTCTCAATTTTATGAAAATGTTATTTAAGTTTTTAACTTTGTATAGATTTAACACAATGGATATTAAACTGTTGAAACTTACATGCTGTTTGTACGTCTCCCTGAATCACACTCCAAACATTTCCACCATAGTTATATTTCTCAAATACTGAGTCCCTTAATTGCTTTGTAAGTTTATCATAGCTCCCCTTCTTGTGACAACATAGTTTATTCCATATTCTTACCATCATCACTGTGGACAGAAGGGAATATGCAAAGCTTCACTTACAGGTGTTTTTCATTGTTGAAAATTAATATAACTAAAATGCAACGAGTGATTACAAGTAAGTCCAGTGGGGTGGAGTAGATTTGTTCAACAGTCGTAATTACTTGGCAACTCTTACTGGCGAAAGAGGGCGCTGTTTATGACTGCAACTCTTGCTTGTGACACTGTTACTGGAAAACCTAGTAACCGTGCTTGTGACCATGAATATCGCAATGTCAGTGGTTTAAATTTAGAACTATGAATATTTAGTATAGTATTTCGCCAGTTTTATTTAGATTTTTAATATCCACCATATTCATATATTTTTATCTTTGTTATAAATTAAGTAGTTGAGACCCACAGTTTATGTTGTGTTGTGTCAGATTGTTTTTCATTCATGACACTGGATATAAATATATTTGTTTTTAGCATCACAAAATGCTTCCACCTGCTCACATATGAATCACTTTTCTGTCATACTTGACTCTTCCCGCGTGGCTCGATTTTTATAGGATTAAACACGTGATGCAGTATAAAAACAAAAGTTATCAAATCTATGATGAGAGGGGGCGACATCATGTAACATAGCGAAATTGCCGTTCGGTGCCAGGCACAGAAGGTACAGTGAAGAACCCGTTTAACTGGAGGGGACTACTTGGTCCATGTTGATGAATCATACAATTGTGCGTTTTAAACACGCAATGCAGTATGTACATCGCGCCCAATACTTCAGACTGGCTTCATCACGAGTGAGTGTCAATCTGTGATGCTCTTTAATAGTATATGAATTTTCCACAATCATGACATTGATATGACCGAGTTGGAGTCTATACAGTCATAATCATTCTTTGAAATGAATGGGAAAGATATGTGTGGGGAATATACATGCATAGCAAACCGGGGAGTTAGTGTTGTGGATTATGTGTTAGCATCTAGTTCTTTATTTCAATATATTGTTGATTTTGGTGTTGGAGAAGAAAGTATTTCTGACCATTTCCCGTTAATATGTAAATTAGAGATAAATGTTGCAATACAATTAGGTGAAAATTTTGAACAATTTTGTAATAGTTATGTATTTTATAAATGGGATAAAGAAATGTCTGATATTTTTATTAGAAATTTATTGCCCAATGAGGGAAGGGAAAGGTCACAAGCAGTCATAAACTCCAGGACGGATGACATGATGACAATTTTTATAATAATTTTATGATTTGCTAAATTGGGCAGCTGCCGATTTTAAAAAATGCAATAAAGGGGTGGGAGAGAGATCGAATAATCAACCCAGTTGGTTTAAAACACAGTGTGAGATAGCAAAGCAAAATATGTATGAAGCATTACGTCAATTCAGAAATCGTCCCATTTTAATAGAAAATCTTACCCGTTATAAAAATTCCAAATCTCTGTTTATTAATAAGGGGCTTTGTAGGGAGAGCACAAATAATTATAATATAAAAGTAACTAATGCTATACATTTTGCTGGAGTCAACACACAGAGACCAAGTATTACACCTTTTGAAAGGGTCAACCACTTCCAAATGCTTCACAATCCAATATTTGACAACTCTGTTTTTGGCAAAACTGTGAAAGAATACCCAAAAAAATTGGATTTTACTTTTCAAGATCCAATATTAGGTGAACTAAATGGGACTATATCAGAAGATGAAATTATGAAAGCATTAATTGAATTGAAACCAGAGATATCACCAGGACCAGATAGTATTCCAAATGAATTTTACAGGTGTTCAAAGAATGCTCTTATTCCAGTTTTGAAATTTGCTGTTAATGCAATATTTGACGCAGGCATTTTTCCAGAGGAATGGGCTAAAAGATTTATCGTTCCTTTACATGAAAAATGCAATGTAAATGACCCCCCAAATTACATCACGTTACTAAACTCCCTAACAAAAATGTTTACGTACATTTTGAACAAAAGGCTGGTAACTGGTCCCAAGCAGGTTTTTAGAAAGGGTTATTGTACTGTTGACAATATTTTCACTCTTCATGTTATAGGTACAGAAATATTTAAGTAAATCAAAAGGTTGGTTCTACTGTATGTTTGTTGACTTCAGCAAGACGTTTGATTCAGTTAATCACAACTTACTGATGTATAGACTTTACATTGAGGGCGGTGGTGGGAAAATGTTGAATATTTTAAAATCTATGTATAAAGGAGTCAAATCATGTGTGAAGTGCCAGTCTGGTATAACAAATTATTTCCCATGTAATGCTGGCGTAAGACAAGGGTGTGCTTAGTCCCTTTTTGTTCTTACGTTTTTTTTTTTATAAATGAATTAAATAATTATGCTTGAAAATTCAAGGTATCGGGAAATACAAATTAAACAAGAGTTGATTAATTTATTCTCTCTCTTGTATGCTGATGATGTTGCGATATTTAGTGACTCCCCTATTGGGCTGCAGAGACTTTTAGCAATATTAGACTTTCTGCTCAACTTGGAAAATGGCAGTAAATATGACTAAAACACAAATTATAGTTTTTGGACGTGTGGAGTGAAAAATGGTTTCTAAATGGCAATCCTGTAAATACCGTTGGGTACTATACATAGTTGGGTTTACTTATTTCGAGTAGAAACACTTGGAGCAAAACAGTAACAACGCTTACACAACAAGCACGAAAGGTCATGTACACAATTTTTCGTATGCCTCACCAAGATTATTTTAAATTATTTGATAGTATGGTTTTGCCGGTTATAAGCTATGAAGCTGAATATGGGGGCATAGTAAATATCATGTGATGGAAAGAGTACAGCTAAAATATTGTAAAGCATTTTTGGGGGTAAAAACATCAACACCTGATGCAGTAGTTTTAGGAGAATGTGGCAGGTTTCCAATTTAAACTACTAAAAACGTCTCAAAATATAATCACTGAATAAGCATATGATTTGGCAATTTCACTTGATAATAATAATAGGGAATATTGGGCAACAAAAGTAAAATATCTATTATCTGTGCATGGGTATCGGAAAGGTATGGCTATGACAGGGACCAGGAGACTTTGATGCATTTTTACAACTATGTATGACCAGAGCATCTGATATATTTAAGCAAGAGCGGTGGGGGAATGTTGTCTCAAAAGAAAAGCTGCGGACATATCGAAATATCAAAACTTCATTTCACCAAGAAGTATATTTTTATTGTCTAGAAACTGATAAATTAAAAAGTGCTCTTGCTTGTATCAGGTGCTCTTAGACTAGTCATAGGCTAGAAATAGAACAGGGTAGATTTATGGGACTGGATGTAGAACAGAGAATATGTAAAATATATGAATCCCCTGAAATAGAGGATGAACTCCATTTCGTTTTAAAATGACCAATGTATGAAAACATTGGACAAAAATGATTACCCTCATAGTCATACACAACGTTAGAAAAATATTATTCCATTATGTCAAATGAATCTGACCAAATAATCACAAAACTAGCAATGTTTGTACATAAAGCACACATTTTGAGACAAGAAAGTATTAACATGAGGCCACTTTTGACCTCAGGAAAGTATTAGTTGTGTATTTATTTTTCTATGTATATTGTGAAATGGGTCGGTGGCCTTTAAGAACAAATAAAGATTCATTCAGAAATGAGTCACTAACCCCAACTTAGGTATACATAGTCAAAAACAGTATCAATAACGCTTAGACAATTTTTTTTGCACGGGGCAAGTTCAATAAATATGGTTACTGTGATATTCTTTTTTTGTATTAAGCAAATAATCATATTCCAATTATGTGATCATTTCCACTATTCTGGGTGTTTTTTGGTTTCTATCCTGTGATACTGGTAATCTTTTGGCTCTGCGAAGTAAGCATGTCTGATTCCGTGACAGGTGGTGAAGCCATCGCAGATGTCAAAAGGAATGCACAGACTACCGGTAACTTCGTGTTATATTTTCTCGTATTCCGTTCATGATCCTGTGACTGTAGAATGTGTCCACTGTAATTCTATCAACATCGCATGTATGTATGTAAAATTGAAAATTGGTATATATGCTATATATGCTATGTAGTCTTTGAAAACAAATGAGTTATATCTCGCATAACTAGAGGAACATAAATAACTTTGGTACAGTAAGTCACATGTATATGATGATTATTGATGATGTTTCACCACCACAGTCAGCTGGCGCACACGTGATAATAAAATAAATACAATATTTACTATATGTGTGCCGCC